TATTTTCCACCAAGCCCTGGTTCCTGGCCACAAGGCCATTGCTTCTCTGTGAGTCTCATACCTGGGTCTGTGCAGGCAGGTGCTCTGCAGGAAGCCAGGCCCAGGCCTCGCTGCATGCTGCTGGCTCCTCCGGGCTCAGGCCCAGTGGCCAGCTCCTGCTGTGCCCCCCAGGTGACAGACCCTGTACCGCTGGGGAGGGTGGAGCTCCCTGGGAGTTGGAGTGGCCCCTGGTATGAGGGTGAGCACGCTTGTCTGTCTCTGCGGTGGCTGCAGCAGCAAGGGGACCAGGGACAGTGCTGTCCTCTCTGCAGCTGTGGCCTCCTGGACCCTCCCTCCAGGTGACCTACAGGGCTCTGCTCCGAGGACCTTTGTGAGGGGAGCAAACAACAGACATTCCCTGAGTGTCGCAACCCCTGGGGTGATGGGCTGTCTCCACCCTTTGCAGGAGCCACCCATACACGCGGGGGTGAAAGGCTGAGATCATAACGCTGTGGAGATTTCATGGAAAATGGGTCTTGGGCATTCATTTTTGTTAACATTTTACTTTAATGTCATTGACACCATCAAAATAAAGTGTGAGCAAATGGGAAAACTGAAATTAAGGAAACAGATTGGGATAGAAGGTAAAGATTAGATTTCCAGTTTCTGAAAATTCTGGACAAGAGGTCCTCCAGCACATCTTTGCCTCGAAGAACCTGCCTGTGTTCTTGCCCTGAAGGCTGAGCGGAGCCCCAGGCTCTGCTGGGGTGAAGGGACTGTGCCCTACAAATATGCAGTCGCAGGCAGCTGGGCTTCAGCTGTGCACCATGGGCCCTGTGTTGGCCCCAGCAGGCACAGCCACCCTTGCTCTGGGCGCAGGGCCTGGTCCGGGTGGAGATGCCTGGCCCTGGGAGCACTCTTGGGGTTGTGCGTGTGAGTGTGCAGGAGGGGTGGGTCCTGGAGGGTGCCTTCCCAGTCTTCCCTCACCCACCCCTCTCCTCATGGGCACCCCACCGCATGAGGAGAGTTGGTGCCCGAGGCAGCCCTCAGGGCTGTGACCCTACAGCCCGCAGCACATTGTGATGACAAGGCAGTGGAGGGGCCCCTCCCAAGGCCAGGCGAGGAGCACATGTCATTTCCCACCTGAGGGTGACACACCTAGGTCTGCTCTTTCCAGGTCGGCCTGGCTGCTTGGCTCAGTGGTCAAGCGTTGGCCCAGTGGTGACCACACGGCCTTGTGGAGTGAAGGCTTCCGGCTGGCCTCCCCCAGGAGCTCAGGCTGTCTTCCTGGCCCAGAGGGTGTGCGCCTCATCCCTGCTGTCCCTGTCAGGAGGCCCGTCCCCCCTCCTCTGGGGTCCTGGGCCCTTGAGTGCAGGGCTGAGGGGCTGTGATCTGAGTGGAAGCCAGCACACCAGGGAGATGCTGGGGACACAAGGGTCCTCCCAGCCTGTGGGTCCCCAGAATTCCCAATGCTCATCTCAGGCCCCCCAGAGCTGTGCCAGGCCAAGAGGTCCTGGTCGTCCCGCTTCCTTCCTGTGGGACGGGAGAGCAGGGCATGCAGGTCACCTGCTCAGAGGCCTGCAAGAAGCCTGTGCTGCCCCCGAGGGGCTACTTCAGTTCAGGAACTGCACCCAGACCCCAGTGGCGAGAGCAGGACCACTGGGCTCCATGGGCCTCCTGGAGGGAAATGCCCCACTTGGAGAGGCCTGGGATCCTTCAACCTGGGCCTGGTCTCTTGGCGAAATGTGGAGAGTTCTTTTCCTTTGGAAGCAGAAAGAAAGGAAAAGGAAAATAAAAATATTTCACAGAATTTGCAACTGCTTAGCTTGCAAATATCAAATGGGCCTAATATTCCTACACAGCAAAGGCAGGGGCTCTGGGGAGACCCTCAACTGTTTGGATACTCAGGCCTGCCCAGGTTGTGTTCTGTCTCCTCCGTCTACCTCCCCGAGCTGCCCTGCGCCTGCTCACCTGTCCCTCTCACCTGCAGAGGGGTGCTGTGCAGGCACGTGTGGAGCCCTGGCACGCTGGCTCCTGGGGCCCCATGTGCGATGATTCCTGGGACCTGGTGGATGTGGAAGCTGTGTGCCACCAGCTGGGCTGTAGCAGGGCTGAGGGTGCCCTGGTGGGGGCTGCCTTCGGGCCAGGTCTGGGCCTGTGTGGCCGGGGCACAGAGGCTTCCCCAGGGGATGCCCGGCGGAGCTGCAAGGACACAAGGGGGACACGGGCGCACACTGTTCCTGTGAGCACGCTGGGCCTGAGGCTCACCTTCTGCCCCTTCCCTGGCCGGGGAGGGCCCCAAGGGGTGGTGGGAGGGTTTTCCTCATTGTGTTCTCGTGAGATAAGCTGCGTGGTTGTGATTTCCTTTAATGTTTTAGGGGCGTCTCTTGTTTTTACGCCCTGTGCATGTTCACTCAGGGGGAGGGGCTACCTTGGGTCACGTGCAGCGCTTCGGCGCCTGTCTCCGTGGGCACTGTCCGTGCTCCCCGGTGCTGCACCCGCTTCTGTTTGCAGGGCAGAGATGGTCATAGTGACGGCTAGGGCAGCCTCCCAGTGGGCTGTAGCTTTCCCTGAGCCCGTTGCTTCCTGTGCCCCACAAGTCACTTGGTGTGACTGCTCGGGGCCCTGTTTTGGGGCCACAGTAGTCAGTGTTTCACCAAGGGGGGACTGCCCCTTAGAGCAGAAACCTCATGCCCCGCGCAGTACACACCAGCTGATTCTGGGTACTCTGCCCAGAAGGGACCAGCACGTGCCTCCCCCATCACTTCTGAAGCCACTGACTGGCCAGTGAGGTGAGGGCCCTGGGGAACTTTGAGGGTGACACGGATGCCCTGTCCTGGGCTCCTAGCCCCCCAGGGGCCTTGCTCTCCATTCCTGCCCCACCCAGTTCCCTCTGGAGAGCCTCACAGTGGATGGTTGTGCCCCTTCAGGTTGACTGTGCATCCCTAATAGACACAAATTCGTATAGAAATCCAGTTTGGTTTTGTGTTTCTGTTTTTAAAAAGACATAAATGGCACCATTTTCAGTTACTGTATAAGCAGCGTCTGCTACCTCACTACGGACTGGAGAGCTCTCCTTATGGGAAGCAGGCATCTACCCTCCTCTTCTTGTGAGCGCTTCTTAATGGAATCTGAAGTATCTTGTACATTTCTTACATGTGTGACCATGTCCTCTGTGAATAGTGTCAAATTTAGCCTCTCCTTTCCTGATCTTATACCTATAATCTCTTTTCTGTGCCTTGTTTCACAGCCAGGATCCTCAGTCCAGTTTTGCATGGAGGGGACCTAGTGGACCCCTTGTCACTTTGACCTCACAGTGAAAGTGCCCCACATTTTGTTTCACTATGAAATATAATATTTGATGTTCTTTTTTGTAGTTACCATCTATTGGATTGAGGAAAATACAGACTAGTCCTAATTTTCTAATGGTTTTGCTTATCATGAAAAGTGTTGGCTTTTCTCAGTGCTTTTTCTGTGTCTATTAAGATGATATGTTTTTTCCCCCTTTTTGGTTAACATGGTGATTGATCTTCAAATGTTAACCAACCTCGAGTCAAACAAACTCGATTTTGTCATGATGCATTATTCTTTATGTATCCATAGGAATCAACTGGTGATATGTTGGATCAATATTTAGGGGAGAGTTTGATGTGTAATTTTACTTTTTTGCAAATGTTTCTGTTTCATTTTTTTTGATGAGGATTATTCAGGTCTCATAAAAGCCAGAACTTATTCCCCATTAAAAAAAATATTTCCAAGAGTTTGTGTAGTGTTGGGTTTATTTCTTCCTTAAACGTTTGGAAGAACAGGACAGTGAAGCCATCTGGGTCTGGAGTTTCCTTTGTGGGAAAATTTTACTCAAGATCCAGTTTTTAAAACTATAGATACTTGAGTATTCAGGTTTCTATTTCTTCTTAGATCTGGCTTGTTATGTCCATTGTTTAATGAATTGACAGTTTTACCTAAATTCTGAAGTTATCGGCATGAACTGTTGATGGCATCTTCATGCACCTTTCTGGCATCCGTGACGGCTGCGTCTGCTCTTGGCCAGTGTGGCCAGAGGCTTGTTCGAGAGCGTTTCCAAGGGCAGGTGGAGTGTGTGCATTTGGCTTTCTTAATTTTTCCAACTCAACATCCATTCTCTATTTTATTTATTTCTGCTCTTATCTTTTTAATTTCTTTCTAGCTTTTTGATTTTGGTATTTAGACCATTGATTTTCAGCATTTCTCTTTTTTAATGGATACATTTAAAGTGAAAACTTTTCATTTTACATAGCTTTAGTTGCATACCAAGAGCTCTGAGATGTAGTTGTTCTGTTTCACTTCTAACAGCTTTACTGAGTAGAATTCATATACAATAAACTGCACATATGGAAAATGTTGCCGTAAGTCCTGATGCATGTATATGCCCATGAAACCACTGTGAGGGTCAGGGGACCTCTTTCCCTCCCTCCCCAAAGATGTTTCTGTCCCTTGGCATGTCTCTCTTGTCCCTCCCTGTGTCCCACCCCCACCAGTGATCATTCAGATTTTTGTCACTGTAGATTAGTTTGCACTGTTTGAAGTTTATATAAATGGAATTACACAGTATATATCTTTTTGGGTGATGGGTGGGGAGTCTGGCTTTTGTTCACTCTGTATAATTACTTTGTTTGGAAAATTTGTTTAGGAAATTTTATTTAGAAGGTTTGTACCCAAAAGTATGGGAGACATTGGTATTCAGTTTTCTTGTTGTCTTTCTCTGGTTTTAAAACAAGGTGACACTGGCCTCACAGAATGAATTGTATCCATTAAACAAGAATCCTTCCCTTTTTAATTTTATGAAAGAGTTTGTGTAGAATTGGTTTTACTTCTTTCTTACATTTTTGGTAGACTTTGCCAGTGGAGCTAACCAGCCCTGGGCTTTCCTTTGTGGGAAAGTTTTTAACTACAGATTAAAATTTTTAATAGATGTAAGACTATTCATGTGATCTATTTATTTTTGCATGAGCTTTGTTAGTTTGTATCTTTCAAGGAATTTGTCTATTTTGTGTATGTTTTATAGTTTATTGGCACAAAATAATTCATTATATCCCCTATTTGATACCCCTTTGCTATCTGTACAATGTGTATAGTGGGTGCCCTGCCTTCCGTTCTTGATGCAGGTTAACTGTGTTTTTGATTTTTTTCTCCTAATCAGTCTGGCTAGAGGTCTATCAATTTTAGTCTTTTTCATAAACCAGTTTTTGGCTTTGTTGATTTTTACTGTCTGCTTTCTATTTTATTTATTGCCACATGGATTTTTTTAATCTCCTTACTTATGCTTACTTTGTGCTTAATTGCTCCTTATTTTCTAGAGTGTTTCTGTGATAACCAATGTCATCAATCTGCCAGTTTGGGAGAGAGACTTCGAACCGTGGCCCCGGTGGGCCTTTAAGCAGCAGGAGCAGGGAAGTGGCTGCGAGAGCAAGCCGTGAGGCCGGGTCCGAAGTTTGTGGTGACAGCTGCAGAACGTCACTGTTCGGCCATAGGGGCCGCCACCCGAGTGCTCACCACGTGGGGGCCACAGCCCCTCCATTGCAGGCTCAGGGCTGGGTCCAAGGCTTATGGCTGATCACATTGGTCACCTGCAAAGTCCTGAGCTGTGACTACTTCCACAGAGGCCGGCTTCTCCACTTGGATATCTCACAGGTACCTCATACTTAAATTGTGTGGCTTACAGATTCAATGCAATCCTTATAAAAATTCCAAATGATTGTGCTTTTCTTTGCAGAAATTGGCCAGCTGATCTTCAAATTTATACAGAAATTCAGGGACCCAGAGTAGGCTAACAATCCTGAAAAGAAAGAACAAAGATGGACGATTCACACGTCTTGATTCCAAAAACTATAAGGACAGACATATAGAATTGAATTGAGTCTAGAAATAAACTCGAATATCTGTGGCCAATTGATTTTCAACATGAGTGCCAAGACCATTCTATAGGGAATGAATAACCTCTCCAACAAATGGTGGCGAGACAATTGGATATCCCCGTGCAAAAGAATAAAGTTGGGCTCCTAGCATACACCACATACAGAAGTTAACTCAAAATGCAGCAAGACTTCTTGAGAGCTAAAACAAAACTCTCAGAAGGAGACACAGGGGTAAATCTTCATGACTCTGAATTACTTGAAGATTTCTCAGATTTAAAACCTAAAGCATAAGCAATCAATGTAAAATAATAGGTAAATTGGACTTTATCAATATTAAAACCTTTTATGCATCAAAGGACAATATCAAGAAAGTGAAACAAGAACCCACAGAATGGGGGGAAATATTTGAAAATCATATTTCTGAAAAAGGCCTAGTACCCAGAAAATATAAATGACTCTTACAACTCATCTATGAAAAGGTAACCCAATTCCAAAATGGTCATAGAATCTGAATAGGCACTTCATCAAAGGAATTACACAATTGGCCAAAAAGCACATGAAAATTTGCTCAATATTATTAGCCATCAAGGAAATTCAACTCAAAACCACAATGAGATACCACTTCACACCCACTAGAATTGTTGTAACAAAAATGATGCACAGTAACAAGTGTTAACTAAGAAATAAAAGAATCAGAACCCTCATACACCTCAAAATGGTGCAGCCACTTTGGAAGACAGTGTGGAAGTTCTGCAAAGGTGAATGCAGAGTCACCAGTTGACCCAACAGTCCCACTCCTGGGTACATACCCAAGAGCATTAAAGTGCACATTCACACAGAAACTCGTGCACAAATGTTCATAGCGACATTAGCCATAGTAGCCAAAAAGTGAAAATGACCAAATATCCATCAACTGATAGATAAACCTTTTGGAGACTATTACCCCGTGTGAGGAGGGGTAAGGTAGACACCACACCGTGATGGGTCTCAGGGTGTCCGTGGGGACGTGGCCCTGGGCCAGGCAGCAGGATGGAGAGGCTGTGAGCGCTCCTGCCTACTTCTCTGTGGGGAGCCTGAGAGTTGGTGACGCCTGAGTCTAATGAAGTAAGAAACTATTTAAATTCTGGGAGATTCTGACATATGAAAGCATCCTGACCTACCTATACAGACCATTAACCTCAAACTCTTTTGCAGATCAGCTGCTGAGGAAGAGAGACTCTGAATAGACTAGTCAATGGCCGTGAGAAACCAGCTGTGGTGGCAGAGTTCACCATGCGCGGTTTCTCAGCAGCACCACAGCTCCGGGCTCTCTTCTTCATCCCCTTTAACTCCCTCTACACCACGGCGCTCTCTGGAAATTCCCTCTCTGTGGCAGCCACCACCTTTACCTCCAGGCTCCACACCCCCATGTACTTGTTCTTGCTCAGTTTGGCTGTTTTTGATGTCATCTGTGCCAGCACTGTGGTGCCCGAGCTGCTTGAGATGCTGGTGGCAGAGAAGAGAGGCATCTCTTACTGGGGCTGTGTGGCCCAGGTGTACTTCCTGACGTGGTCTCTAGCAGCAGAATTACTGCTCCTTCCCGCTGTGGCTTATGACAGCTACCTGGCCATCTGCCATTCTCTGCACTATGGATCCATGATGAGCCCCAGGGTGTGTGTGGTGCTGGCTGGGGCTGTGTGGGGCATCAGCATGCTCGGTGCTGGAGTCAATGTCTGCCTGATTTTATGGTTGACCTTCTGTGGGTCCAACGTGATCGATCACTTCTTCTGTGAGATCCCCCCTCTGCTGCTGCTGTCCTGTTCCTGCACGTACGTGAATGACATCACGGCAGTTACGGCTGACATCTTTGCCATGCTGTATTTCCTACTTACCACGGTGTCCTGTGGCTTCATCATCTCCACCATGCTGAAGATGCGTACAGCCAAGGGGAAGAGGTGAGCCTTATCCACCTGCTCCTCCCACCTCATTGCGGTCACCATGTACTACTCCACCATCATCTACATGTACCAGAGCTCCGGATCCAGCTACTCCCCTGGGATGGGCAAGGTGGTGGCTGTGCTTTATTCCACTGTGAGCCCCACTCTGAACCTTCTCATGGACACTCTGAGGAACAAGGATATCGAGGCAGCTCTCAAGAAAGTTTTTACACTTTTAGCAGAAAAACTGTAGTTATTTTTTTACAGGTAAGGGCTGGCTCAGGGAAGCTGAAAGTTCCAAGTCCTCACAAGCAGAGTGTGTTCATTAGGTACCATCCTGTATTGGGAACCCAATCTAGATTGACACGCAGTGTCTCCTGTTACAAATATGGGCTCTAGACATTCTTGAACCTACGCCAATACAGATAGGGGCCCTGGAAGTCTGCTTGATATCTAACAAGTGTAGAGCTTAAGTAAATGGATGTTTTCAGGAACTACTGGCAGTAAGATATGCACTTTGAGTCAAAGAGGAAAACATGGCACAAACATGATCCGACTGTGGGGACAGTTTCCCGAATCCCCAGCACCATCAAAGCCTCTGCACACAGCACTTTGCTGTAACACTTTCCCAGATGCCCCTGCCAGTCTGTGAGGCTCTTGGGAGACAGTGGCCATGTCCAGAAGTTCAGGGATGCAGGTTGAAGTGAACGAAAACATGGAGGATGGAGGGGCCATGGTGGTCATCAGGGGAGGACAGAGAAGGGGCTGGGCATTAGAAATGGGGGCAGATGCACCTGTGGGTTGCGGGTGACACAGGGAACTAGCTGTGTCCCCAACGAAGGGGCCCAGCCAAAGCTCCTGCCCAGAGGAGAGCAGTGGTGACCTAAAGGACGACCAGGGGTTTTAATGTGCCCTGCAGGATGAGCAGCCCTGTACAGATGCCTTCCGCAGGAATTGTTTCCACCGAAAGTCAGAGCAGCCCCTGGCCTCTCCCTGCTCCATAGCATGGTGCACACAAGGCAGCCACTCACAGTGCAGGGGCCCCCTCTGCAGGGGATGGAGCAGAGGGGCCTGGGCAAGGTGCCAGGCCTCATGTGGCAGCTGAGGAGCATGGCCTCTTTCCCTGTGGTCCTGCCACACGTGAGGAGTTGCTGCAAGGGGAGGCCAGTAAGGGGCAGGGGACAAACAGTGCCACACGGGAGTGGAAGGACTCCCCCTTGGCCAGAGGTCTTGCCCAGTTGTTTACAGAAAAGGATTTAGTGTCAGTTCCATTGTGGGAATTCTCAGTTCTTGTCAGTGTGTCTGCGTGTGCGTGTGTGCAGCACATTAGGGATCACACAGAGTTCAGTGACTCTAAATTCACTTTATGTTCACAGTTCATCATGTGGATAATCACAAGTCAACATTTGGTGGGCATAGTGACATTCCAAATTAAAAATCCCTTGCTGATATAGTTAACTTTAAGTTGAATGGAGCAAGGAACCCACCCCGATGTGTATTGTAGACACCTGACGGATGGATGGGTGGATGGGTGGATGGAGAGATGGATGGATGGGTGGGTGGGTGGGTAAATGGATGAGGGGTGAATGAATGGAAGGGAACAGGAAAGTATGTGGGAGGGCTGGTGGACGGTGGGTGGGCTAAGAGAAGGTGGTAGGACAGATGGAGGCATTCACAGAGTGGATGAAAACTAGAGTGTGTACCTCTTCCCAGAACACAAACCACTCTCTCAAAGAGAAGATGCCCATTACATTTCCAGGTCTTGCCACAATGAACCATTTGTGATGGGCTGGAAGTTGAGCACAGAAGCAATTGTCAATTGTCAGTATGGTGTTCACAGAAGCTTAAGCATGTTCTTGCAGGTTCTGATGAAATTCTGAAGATGGACTTCCTGTGGCCATGTAGAAGAACCATGGTCAGCTGCCTCTCTCTGAGGTGCCACCAGCATGGCATTGGCTGTGAGTTCAGAGACAGGGCAGACTCTTGACCTGTGTGTCCTGAGCTTTCCTCTCCCATGTTTTGTCCAAAGGTTGTGAGGATCCTGCTCACCAGCCCTTAACTCCACAACACGTACACGCGCTCAGACCTCCAGGCCGCATCAGACTCACATGAATCACCTCTTGTCAAGAGCCCCGGAGCACTGATAGAATCTAAAGCAGAGGAGAAGGACTAGAAAGAGATATCGGAGGACTGGAGGCATCCAGGCAGCCACGTGGCCCGAATCCCCACAATATACTTTTGCAGGTGGTGTTGTAGCGCCCACCTGGAGGCCCCTGAGAGGCACCTCTGGTCGGCATGATGGCTTTTCTCTGGTCTGCGGTCCTTCCTTTGGATTCACTCCCAATAGTCTCCACGCGCCCTCATCCACCTGATGTTTCAAAGAGAACTAGGTACTAGACTTACAGTGTGCAGCATTGGTCAGTGGGGAGGAAAACAGCAAAGAAGGGGGCAAGGAGAGAGGAGACCTGCTCCCAGGCAGACAGGAGCCTCCACACCTGGCCATGTACCCCCGTCCTGGCTGTGGCCTCCAGCCCTGGGCACCCACGCCTCCTCCCTCCCGCCCTGGTCTCAGCCTCTTCCACCACCAGCACATGCAGCAAGGACACAAGTGTGCCAGCACCTGAGTGTGCCCAACACCGTAAGGGAGTAAGCAACTCATTCACACCAGGAGGCCCACACCCCGAAACAGCCATGGGCCATCACAGGGACCCCACTTCTCCAAAGCATAGGAAGGGCCCTAACAGCCACGTTTTAGACAAGGAGAGGAGCAGGTTTGTGGGATGGCACTTCTCCCCATTCTCTGAGAGTCTGCAGGCTTCCACCCATCAGCCTGTGGCTGCCCATTGCCCGACTTTCTCATTGAAGCACAGACGCAAGGGCCTCCACGCCATGGAAGCACAGCATCGCCCCTGGTTGGCATCACTGTGGGTGGCACTTGTGCATGAACTGCTGTGCAGATGCCAGTCCCATTCCAAACAAACACTCATGTCCTTCATTCATTCCATAGACATTTCTTGAGTGATGCTGTGCGGCCAGTCCTGGGCAGTGTGGCCACTCCTATCCTGTGCCGAGGGCTCCAGAGGACATGGCCACAAGATTTGGCACAGTGCCCATCATGGCTTAGCTAACAACTGATCAGTGCGGCGAGGGAAAGGGAGCCTTCAGTTCCACAGGCTCACACTTGGTTTCAGATGTGATCCGAGCCTAAAACATTCAGACACGGCCTGCTGCGTTCCCAGTGGGTTAACAGAAGCACCTGCTGTTCCAGGGGGACCAAGGCTGGGTGACCTAGGAAGGTGACTCAGGTGACTCATCAGCCTAGCTTATGATTCCTAACAA